TACAATATTCAAACAGAAAATCGTTTGTCTTGTAGAATGCATAAAAGATTATTTGCAAAACCAAAGCAGATGCATTATGCGACAACAAATCATATCTAATCAGCGCTAATACTCGAGCTTGCGTGGCCTGACCTACAAAGCAAATTCAGTTGCTGCGAAGCTGCCTCTTTAATTAAGCGACAAAGTTAAAGTTGGAGTCGCTGAACCGGAGTTATACGGCGCATAATAATTAACAATATGATACCCGTTGCTGGAAAGGACGTTTGTGATATGGTTGAAAAGTTCACTTGCTGAAATGTCACGGCAACGCTCCCTCTGCACCCACATTTGATTAAAATTGTTAAAAATTGGTGTTAAACAAAAACAACTAAATGCATTGAAAACTCAAAATTCCACATCCAATTCCCGCACAACGCCAGGACAGTACTTGGTGGCTAACTGCAAATACGGCACATTCAAATCCCGCTTCAGAATCGTCCAGTTTAAGCTCAGTTTATTCCACACATGCACCAAATAGCTGTTTGCTTCTGCATAGGACACGATATTACCTGCCAGATCTTCTTCGAAGAACAACTGCCAGTTTTGATAGGGAAGGAGGTAGAATCCCGACGGGGGAATGATGCGAAATTCATCGCAAATGCCGAATCGAATCAGCATCGGGTACGAAAACTTCGAACAGTGTTTGAATATGTTTCTGAAATTGCGAAACGTTGGACAACGTTCGAGGTTTGAAGCCCACTTACCTAGTGATGAGAATAGGGCCGTTTTCGCCCCAAATTATCCCATTGAAATTGAGCGCCGCATCTTCCAAACACTCCTGCATGTATTGGTGGCCTTTCCCCGTTCTGCTAAAGCCCATCACGCCATTTGCCACTAGATCGACAGATTGAGCGCCTGCAAAGTTCTCCGGTAATGTTGTCAGACTTTTCAGAACAATCACGTCTAGGTCTAGGTAGATGCCGCCAAATTTCCATAGAGTCAGCAATCTGCGCAGGAATTGGAAGTTGAGCTACTGGGTTGCACAGAAATGTACTCCTACCTCAAAATATCACTGACATGAGCCACTGGATACCGCGACTCCTTGATCCTGCCACTGCTCCACAACTCCTCCACCGGACTGTCTTGGATGAACTGCTGCAGATCGAAGTGCAGCAGCTTCACATTGGGATACGCGGTCAGGGAGTGCAGTAGCCGGTCAGACTGGGTGTTTTCATCTGCAATTACCTCTGCAGGTGACCCATATGATTTCCTGCTGCAGCTTACTTACCTTTTAATATGCCTGGTGAAGCAAAGAGAAGGTGCACATCCATGTCGGGATTTAGTCTAGCTGCGCTTTCAACGGCACAAGCCTGGCGGGCTTTAATGAAGAGTTTGCCCCGTCGAAAGGAGTTGCATGTGGTTTCCAGGAAGAAGATGTTGCGCTTGTTCGGATTTGGAGGATGCTGCGAAATGTCTGGAAGGGCTGCTTGATCGGAAATATCATGGCAAAAGAGCTCATCAGCGGACGACCATTCAAATGCCGGAAGTGTGACGTTCTTGTAGCGCAACAAAAGGACTGTGGAGATGATCAAGCAACTCACTAAAAGCACCTGCAGATAACGACGAGTCACTTTCATACTATTTCAGCCTGTTCAGCGATATTTTGCGAATACCTATCTTGCTGTGTTAAATTTCGGAACCCAGCTATGGCGGAATCCTTATCTTATCTATTACAAATTATTTACAAATGCATTAGCGAAATCTTTACTCAAAAGTAATTATAGGTATTTCCAACGACAGAAAAACAAATTCTGTATTCAAATGGTTCTCGAGAAACGTTGAAAAAAGCGGCGTCAGTCGAATTCGCCTTTTAAAAGACACCTGATATAAACATATATTTTTCCTAAAATTTCAGTTTTTTTCTGTCAAAACTGCCAACATTTTCCGAGCGATGCTTGACTTCGTAAATGTACCATTGAGTCCTCTATCCAGTGTTGCCACAATGGCTTCTCTGGCTTGCTC